TTTTTCTGCACAATTTGGCTAAAAACTTTTGCGCTAAAGTCGCTATTTTTACCCTACTCATATCTTGTAAATGAGTGGTATGTGTTTCAATGTAAAAACCAAAACTGAAGTCTTATTTTGAAAGACTATTAACTGGATGTGATAACTTATCCTTCAAAGACAACAGTATAAAGAAAAGAAGACTAACAGATAGGGCTCTCACCTCCCAAAGTTGTGCTTTCTTAGCTATATAAAATAGTAATATCAAAAAATTTTGACAGCCTATTTCCTTCATAATTCTATGTCTTCACTCCACTTTCCTTTAGCTGTACATAGTCGTTACGTTTTGATGTCCCTGTCCCAAAAATGATAAGGATTAGTTCCTCTCTTGAACAGGCAAAAGAGCCTCTCCAAATTTCGCTCCTTTTTTTTGGATCCCATGTAGATAAATGAGTTGTGGCTGAAATGAAAGCATATTATAGAATCGCAGACTTTCATGCAAATTTTCAGCTCCGAGTGGCTCTTCTATTAGGCCGTGCAGCATTGACAAATTATTGCTAAATTTTGAAATTCTGAATTGATTGTCCGGTACATCATAATTTAACAGACTTGTTCATCCATTTACAGGCTGAATACTGTCCTGAAAAATTGTTATTCAGGGCGAACACAAACTTTTCAAAGCTTTCAACTAACTTAAACCAGCACACATCAAATGCAAAATTTTATAATGTTGCACCGTAGGCACGTATACACATTCATTTCTGCTGTCCCTACCATTTGAATAACATTTTTCTATTCTGCTTCTCAGGCCAAGAAGCTAGTCACCGATATAAAGAAATCGGCAACAATGTCAGGCACGGCGAGAAGCCTCCTGTCACTGATGATGGGAAAACATGTCGTCAATAAATTCACTTGGATGGGGGTGGCGGACGATAAGCTGAGCTTCATTAAGCATGGGCTCAAGCTTGTTCTGATTGGTAAGTCAACATTAAGTACCAAATCCTCAGTTAATTCAATTGCCTCTTAATTTCTCAGTAATTACCATCTATGAACAATGAAGCACAATGATAATTCAGCGTATAAAAATGATTTTTTCCCCCAAATGTTCTGCCCTCAGAAATACAACTGGGTATTCCCTAATTTTTTTCTTCTTCTTTATTTGTGCATGTATGCAAAGGTTTAAGATGATTAATAATGCAATGATTCCGTGAACAGTTTGTTGAAATAAGGAAATAATTCATAACTTCAATGAAATAATTAGAGTAGAAGACTCTCATTGTATCTGCTGATCTGTGTAATAGGACCTAAATAATTGAGCAAGTTGTACAGGTCACAGAATTGTATCCTGATCATCGCAACTCTCACCCATTCAGGATAAATTATGCGATTTATCCAATTGCCAAGTTTCCATGTCAATTATGGGAGGAATATCTCCTGAAACTCTCCCTGTATGTCATATAAAAATCATGGTAAATGCCCCTGCATTCAGGTAAAGCTCAAAACTTCTTGTAAACTTTCAGCTGCCTCTACCAAAATACAATTTTTTGAAGGACATTAATTGTCATTGTTTTGTTCTTCTTTTTCAGAGTGCCTTGTCCTCCTGTATCCCACCGAAACTGGCCACCAGAGCCAAATTTCCAAATCCATAGGCCAATGGTTCACTCAATTTGCAGAAGAACAAGGAACAAAGTAAGTTTATCTGTTCACTTTACCCTATGAATGACTAACTTTGTTTATAAATTATACAATCATCGATCAGAATCATCAGATATGATTCGTAATAGTCAATGTTTATTTTTACGGTTGCAATTGGATATCCTTTTGGACGTCCTCTTTCAAGGATGGCTGCTAAATGCCTGTTTTCATCCGTTTGTGTGTCCTAATAGAATTTCTGACTTTTTTTCCTGATGCCCCTGAAATATCTCTCATCCTGAAAATAGCTATGTTGCTTGTCACTTTCAAAGTTGATGAATTCAAAGCTTTAGGTACAACTAACTACAGTGAGAAGTTTGAACAAAATGGATTAAAATTTATCTTTAAATTCTCTTTTTCTGATGTCAATTCACTGTTAATGTAAGCTGTGTTAACTAAAAGATTCAAGATCCAAATTTGATTTGCAGAAAAGTAAGAGAAGCCAATGAATTTGTGTTTTCTTCCAAAATGAATTCAATTATTTGCCTTAAGTCGCTTATTTCAACTTTTTTTTTCAATTTTCAAAGCTATACAGACGCAATGATGTACTCATTTGACAATTAGGAAAAGCTTTCTCGTCCAAGAAAACTTGTCTGCCGTTTCAGGTCAAAAATAATCGAATTTAGTTGAACCAAAATTACCCACATTGGAAGATAAATTGGATTGCATTTTGCAAAAAGGCGAACCAGGAGCATTCCAATGTCGCTACGATTGTGCGCAACTTTTTTCATTTTGTAAATATACACTGATCATCTAATCAAGTTTTTTATCTTCTTATGGAATAAACTATTAATACAAGACGAAAATTACCTTTGTAAATTCAATTTTTTTATGATTTCAGTATTTATTTGCAAAGAATGTAATTTTGCACAATCCTAGCAACATTGAAATGCTCTTGGTTCCTTTTTGCAAAATGAAATCCAATTAAGCCATTTTTACTGTTTTCTTACACTACTTTTTTTTTCTTTTGTCAGGGAAAAAAGACGTAAAAGAGGAAGCAATAAGAGCAGGAAGCACAATAAGCTACAAAAAAGACGAAGGAGACAGTCAACTAGCAGCGCTCCCTCTACTTCAAACTGCTCTAGTGAGCAGTCCGAAGCCGTTGCAGACCTCTCGGAGGGATCCACTCCTTAAATGGGTGTCAGGGACTTTTTTCCTCCCGCATCATTTTAATTATTTTTGATACTTTCTTTTTGATACTCCTTAAATGGGTGTCAGGGACTTTTTTCCTCCCGCATCATTGTAATTATTTTTGATACTTTCTTTTTGATACTCCTTAAATGGGTGTCAGGGACTTTTTTCCTCCCGCATCCTTTTAATTATTTTTGATACTTTCTTTTTGATACTCCTTAAATGGGTGTCAGGGACTTTTTTCCTCCCGCATCATTTCAATTATTTTTGATACTTTCTTTTTGATACTTTATTTTTGATACTTTATTTTAATTACAGTTATGTAAATTGATAGTTTAATAAATGTTTTCTTTGTTCCTATAATTTTTAAAATTGTTCTCTCATTTTCAAGTCTCTAAAGGTTTTCCAGACCACCTTCAAAAAATTTTATTTGGAGTATATGCATTATGAGGGTGCTACTGTCAGTCCACCTCATTTATAGGTCCATCAGCTGGCTTTAGGTACATTGAAAGATTCTCACTTTGACTGGTAATATCTTATTTTTTCTTTTTCTTTTAACACTTCTCTTGATGTAAGGAGAGTTGATTTTTTTCAGCTTATGATGAGACAATAATCCTCCGCTGAATGTTTTTGCTTGACTTCCAAGGTGGTTTTGGCAATGCAGCATTGCAGAGTTTACATTCTTTCACCATTGGAGAACTTCAAAGCATTTGCATTTTTAAACGGTGAAAGAATGCAAAATATGAAGCACTGTATTGCTAAAATGAGGTTTAAACCTAACGAGTCAAAACATTCATTGGATGATTATCTTATCATCAAGTTCCGTTTTGGCCACATTTTAACAATATTCTTTAGTTCCCTTTCAAAAGGGGACACCGGAAACCCATCCTTCTGACAGGTTCTTTTCACAAAAACCAATGATTGAGCATTATCTAACAGTCAATTAATAGTTAGATAATTATCAAGTAAACATCAAGTAAACTTTAAGTCAGCAAAATCCGTGCTTTAAAGCTTACTTAATAAATGAGTAAATGTTATTTAAATGTAAAGTAATCGTCAGGTAAACCTGAAGTAACGATTACTTAAAATCCTTCTCAAAAAAAGTGACAGTTTTACTCACCACTGATTAAGGGTTACTTAATCGTGAGGTAAACGTGAATTCATAATTACTTTAAGCTTATTTTAAGCTTACTGCACGTTTACTACTCCCTTACTTAATTTTAAAATCCAAAATGCTACATGGGTTTTTTATGCTAAAACAGTTTTTTGAATGTGTTTCGAAAAGGTAATTTTTCACATCCGCCATTGTTACATATAAGTCCTCATATATGATTCATTGCGAAAATTTTCGAATTCTGAAGTTTTGTCAAAACAATTTTCGAAACAACCATCGTAGCCTGATCACTTGCGCAATGTGCATTGAAATATGAATTTAAAATCATACTCACATGGGGTAAATTTAGACGCACAATACTTCAATACTTGTAGAGCACGCTGTTTACTTTTGGAAACAAGAAAAGTGTCCCTTGAATCCTTTCACTCGAATAATTTCTTCCGGATCTACTGGAATTCTTCAAAAGAATTGGACAGTTCTTTGCTTCATTTCAGAACAATTGTAATTCTTTCGCCGGAATATTTGATGAATTTTCCTTCTTATGCGAATATAATTCTCTCTCAGTGTACGTCACGAATACGAAGAAAATAACTCTTTTCTTTTCATCAAATTAAATGAGAATAATCCATCCACGGTGTGCAAACATTTCAAAATCATGAGCTGAAAAATGCTGACTCCGGGAGTTTAGAACCAAACAGAAGCGGCGTGCTGCCAGCGCGTAACGCGCACAGGCCCCTACAAACCTAAGGGGATACTTCACGCATTGCGCAATGCTTGAAGTATCCACTTAGGTTTGTAGGCGTTGGCGCAATGTGCATTGAAATGAATTTAAAATCATTCTCACACGGAGTAATAGACGCACAATACTTCAATACTTATAGAGCACGCTGTTTACTTTTGGAAACAAGTAAAATGTCCCGTGAATCCCTTCACTCGAATAATTTTTCTCGGATCGACTGGAATTTTTCAAAAGAATTGGACAGTTCTTTGCTTCATTTCAGAACAATTGTAATTCTTTCGCCGGAATATTTGATGAATGTTCCGTCTTATGCGAATATGATTCTCTCTCAGTGTACATCACAAATACGGTAAAAATAACTCCGGTTATATCCATTCCAAGGAACTTACAACTGGCATACGATGAATATTTTTTTCAAGCGAAAGCTAGTTTAGCAGGTAAGTTTCGCCGTTAAGGAAGTTTATATTCGGTAGCGCAGCACATGTTTCTAACTTGGATGGGCAATCTAAGGGCGATTATTTTCCGGAGGGTAGTGCTTTGGATGGCACCCTTGGCGCAGGGTGGCGAGGCGGCTTCGAGCAAGATCGTTCTCTTCCGTAATCAAAACACACGCTCTCGAACACACGCGCATCGATCGGATGCTCCAAGTCTCTTCCAATTTCCTCTCAATTGCCGCACGAGCGTGAGATTTAGCTAAACAACTTGGGGCGCAGTGGGAAGAAATAATTAAGCAAAGGGGAAAAGAATGCGTCAGTTGCACTGGTCGTAGAATTGAGGGACTTGGAGGACAAGGCGCACAAGTGCCGTTTTTGCTATTTCGAGAAATACATGTTTGAAGTTTCGAAATTACACGGATCCTTATGGCAGAAAGAAAGTTCAAACTGACTTTTTGGTGCTTAAAAATTGGAATTTGAATTTTGATTAATGATTTTCGGCCTGATTTTTGAAATTGATAAACAAAGTTATAGACAAACAGGGCAAAGATAAAATAGAACTATCTTATTGTTGGAGACGAGTGGTCGCAATGACCAACTTACAGCAACTCACGACAAACTCTATATTCTCACTATATTCAATCCATCGTGTTCCCCTCCTATACTGCCGTGCAAAGGAAGAACGCCGTATGGACCTTCAGGCGTTGCCGAATGTCCTTCGATAAAACACGAATTCCCTGGTAAACCTATGAATATAGTCCTTCCAATTTTTCAGATAATTTTGTTCGCCATTTCATCTAAAGCGCCCGAAAATTGCAAGGAAAAATATTCATAACTTTCCTCAAAAATAAACACTTTATCGCAAGAAAGCTGGCAGCTCTCGAATGTTCATACGGCGTTTTTCCTTAGCACGGCAGTATACCAACCACTTGTTTCAATCAATAGAATTGCTCCATTTTCCCTTTGTCTTCTTTGTCTATCAATTGGACTACATTTTGCAATTTGGAACTATAAATTTTAGTCCGGTTTAAAAACAACTTATGTACCATTAGTTTCCCTGTGCACATAAGTGTTTTTCCAGAAGAGCCAGGATTTATAGTTCCAAATTGCAAAATGCAGTCCAATTTAAATTATCAGCTCGTGGGAGTCTCGCGGTAACTTTTTAAGACCCGTGTGCGGCGCTTCGGTGCTAATGCGTAAGCCCGCCAATATTGGATTACAATGCATCGGGAAAACGACTGGAATTACGGGCTGCCTGGATTGGATTTAATCACGGGCAGAGGCGCCTCCGAATGTTGTGTGGTTCGGAGTCTTGGGTTTACGCCTGTTGTGTTCATTACGGCCGGATCTCCTCTAGGCGCGCAGTTAGTCGAAACTCCAACGAAAGCCAAAGCTAGATCGTGCACCGATTCAGGGTAACCGGATTAAGTAGTCTAAAGGTCAGCTGTATCACTGGAAAAAACACATTGGATCTAGAGTCCAGACTCTTGAAAACATTGACAAGAAAAAATAGTCTTGATTCAATCAGATTTAAGCTTAAATCAAAAGGAAATCCGCTCAAATTTAGAGGGTTTGGTTCTTGATCTAAACAAAAATCCGATTGAATCAAGAGTATTTTTTCTTGTCAATGTTTTTAAGAGTCTGGACTCTAGATCCAATGTGTTTTTTTTTTCAGTGTAGTATTTGTAGTGAATCAGAATCTGATGATTGTGGGCCATGAGAACACCAGAGAGAAAACTTAAGGTGATTCGACAGTCGCCATTTTCGTGTCAGAGCGACGTCCGATATATCGCATCAATTCGTTCCATAATGTCAGCTACTTGTAATTTTTTTCGAATTTTGAGATCACACTTCTGTTGTCATGAGACTAAAGAATGAAAGTACCAAGTTTACAAAGAAATTGAACGCATTAAAAGCAGGTTTTTTTCAGAGGAAAAATATTGCATTCGAGTGCAGTTTCGATATCAGTATCGAAAGCGATATTTTTCCTCTGAA